GGAAATGTTTCTATAGATCGTGCTCTTTGTGATTTTGGTGCCAGTGTAAGTCTCCTACCACTCTCCATCTACAAGAAACTCAACGTTGGAGAACTCAAACCGACTCGCATGGCTCTTCAACTAGCTGATCGTTCTATCAAATACCCTCTGGGTATTCTCGAGGACGTTCCGCTGAAAGTAGGCGATTACTACGTACCGGTCGATTTCGTTGTGCTTGACATGGACGAAGACGCCAAAACCCCGTTTATTCTAGGGCGGCCATTCTTAAACACTGCAGATGTCATTGTCCACGTTCGGGCCGGCCGACTGACACTCAAGATCGGTGACGAAACGGTGGAATTCACGCTCGACCAGAATTTCAAGCAACCATCTACAATAGACTCTATATGCTACATCGATTTGATGGAGGCTTTAGCCGATGAGGTACTCTTTGAATTTCGTGATTTCGATGCCCTCTCTATTGCTCTTCTTTCTGAACAGGGCTACAGTACCTCTACGGAGCCGAATCTTCAATAATGTCAGAGAAGATCGCCATCATGCATCGTTGAAAAGTAGCAGGGGCGTTGCAGAGCCCAAATGGCATGCGCCGATAGGCGAAGGTCCCGTAAGGGCAGGTGAAAGTTGTCTTCTCCTGATCATTGGGGTGAATAGGGATTTGAAAGAATCCCGAGTATCCGTCAAGAAAACAAAAATAGGAATGAAGAGCAAGACGTTCAAGCATTTGATCAATGAAAGGTAAAGGGAAGTGATCTTTGCGAGTGTTCGCATTTAACTTCCTGTAATCGATGCACATACGCCAGCCCGTCACTGTTCTTGTCGGAATCAGCTCATTTTTGTCGTTTTTGATCACCGTCATACCGCCTTTCTTTGGGACGACTTGAACCGGACTTACCCAAGGGCTGTCAGATATAGGGTAAATGATACCTGCATCCAAAAGTTTTAGTACCTCTTTCTTGACGACTTCTTTCATCGATGGATTAAGTCTGCGTTGATGTTCGATGGATGATTTGGAATTGTCCTCTAGATGAATTTGATGCATGCATAATGAAGGGTTGAGACCTTTGATATCATCTAGAGTGTATCCGATAGCCTTCCGGTATTCTCGCAATATGGTGAGGAGTCGCTCGCGCTGTAGATCATCCAAAGCAGCATTTACAATAACAGGATAAGTGGAATCGGGACCGAGAAATGCATACCTGAGTCCAATGGGCAAGGGTTTTAGTTCAAGTTTCGGGGCTATTGCAGGGTCCCAGTCAGGTAGATGATGCATGGGGGTTGATTTGGCGGCGAAGACGGGCAACGGTTCGAACAAAGGAACAGACTGGAGATGAATCCGAGACTCGACACGGTCCGAGTTCACACTCGACACGGCCGCGTCGAGTTGTGCACGGGCTAGCCCATAATGATGCACGGGCGTGTCTAACTTCGCAAATTTGCTCAGACATTTGACACGGTCCGTGTCGAATGACGACACGGCCGTGTTGCAAGAAACACGGACTGAGCTGGTGGTAAACACGGGCGTGTCTCGTTCGATTTTTTTTGGCAGAATGTCGACACGGTCCGTGTTGAATGATGACACGGCCGGGTTGCATGGCATTTCGGCTAAACCGTCCAAGAATGATGTGTATGCGTGAATTTGAGGCTCCGTAGAGGTACTGTAGCCCTGTTCAGAAAGAAGAGCAATAGAGAGGGCATCGAAATCACGAAATTCAAAGAGTACCTCATCGGCTAAAGCATCCATCAAGTCGATGTAACATATAGAGTCCACTGTAGATGGTTGCTTGAAATTCTGGTCGAACGTGAATTCCACTGTTTCGTCGCCGATCTTGACTGTCAGTCGGCCGGCCCGAACGTGGACAATGGCATCTGCAGTGTTTAAGAATGGCCGCCCTAGAATAATCGGGATTTTGGCGTCTTCGTCCATGTCAAGCACAACGAAATCGACCGGTACGTAGTAATCGCCTACTTTCAGCGGAACGTCCTCGAGAATACCCAGAGGGTATTTGATAGAACGATCAGCTAGTTGAAGAGCCATGCGAGTCGGTTTGAGTTCTCCAACGTTGAGTTTCTTGTAGATGGAGAGTGGTAGGAGACTTACACTGGCACCTAAATCACAAAGAGCACGATCTATAGAACCATTTCCCAGTTTGCAGGGAATCGAGAAGCTACCTGGATCCGACATTTT